AAATCGCCGATTACCGTTGCCCCCACCCCTTTTCAAGATCAAGCCTTGACGAGCAAGCCCCCCACACCCCCTTTTCCCCCCTTCAAGAGCAAGCCTGTTGCAATGGCCGACTCCCACCGAAACTGCGATTACCGTTCCCAATGACGAATATCCGATTGGAAAGGGGGGGAAAAAAAAAAGTACGATGAGCGAGGGAGAAGTACGACGAAGGTGGATGGAGGAGGAGAAGCATGACGAAGGTGGAGGGAGGAGGAGAAGTACGGCGAAGGTAGAGGGAGGAGAACGACAATGGAGGAGAAGAGCAATAAAAAAACAAGACGATGAGTGATGGAGAAGTATGACGAGGGAGGAGGGAGGAGAAGACCGATGATGAAGCAGGGAGGTAGACAAGGATGACGATGATGAGGGATGGCGAGGGGAATCCGATTCGGACGGAAAAAGAGGTGGGGGAAGAGGGAGGAGGGAGGGAGGGAGAAGTATGCCGAAGGAGGAGGGAGAAGTATGCTGAAGGAGGAGGGAGGAGGGAGTAAGAGACTGATGACGAAAGAGGGAGGTAGATGAGGATGACGGTGATGAGGGATGGCGAGGGGAATTTGATTCAAACAGAGAAAAAAGAAGGGAGGAGGGAAGAGGGAGGTAGGGAGGGGTATGGCGAAGGAGATGTATGGCAAAGGAGGGAGAAGAAGTATGATGAGGGACGAGGGAGGAGTATGATGGAGGAGGGAGGGAAAGTATGACGAGGGAGGCGGGAGGAGAGGAGGGAGGAAGGAGGAGGAGATCGATGACGAAGGAGGCACTGTTCCCTTCGCTGGAGGCCCTTTTTTTTTATTCGAAGGAAGTGGAGGAGAATGAAGAAGAGGGAAATTGGATTCGAAAAAAGAACGAGGGAGGGGAAAGGAGAAGAACGACGATGCGGGAGTGGTATGGCGAACAAGGAGGGAAGTATTACGAAGGAGGGAGGAAGCGGAAGATAACGACGACGAGGGAGGAGGGGGAAGGGAGAAACGAGGGAGGAGGGAGGAAGGAGAAGGCAGAGGGGACCGATGACGAAGGAGGGAGGGGGAGGACAATGATGAGGGGAGTAGAAGAACGATGACGAGGGAGGGTTGAGGAGGAGAAGAACGATGGGAGGGTAATCGAACTTGAATACAAAAAAGAACCAGAGGAAGGGGGGGGGGGGAGAGAGAGAGAGAGAGAGAGAGAGAGAGAGAGAGAGAGAGAGAGAGAGAGAGGCTGGTAGTAACCCACCACTGTTGTAGACGCGGCTTCACTCCTCCCATTGCTTCCTCCGGCTCCTCCCGCTGCGCTGGCGATGGCCACACGACGACGACGAGGCTGCTTCCTGGTGCACGGACGAGGCGGTGAAGGCCAACCCATGGTGGCTGGGAAGGAGAACGTGCTGTCCAGCGGCTAAGGTCGACTACCAGGGTTTCTGCAGCCAGCATGGTGGGTCTGAGTAGTTCAAAATCGTTTTGTTTCTTGGTGCCCGTGCGCGTCCTGCAGAAAAAAATCCCCACTTTGGTACCAGTTGGCGCGAACCAGCATAAGGGCCTACAAACCCCCCCCACGACTTTTTTTTTTTTTTTTTTGCTGACTCCTGATTTTCGAGGTGCACCGCACGCCGTGCGCACGCATCGTGCGCCATGCACGGTGCAGCGCACCTCGATGCGCCGCATGTATGGTTTCAGCTCGTCTGAGTGTGTAAGGGATGCTGGACCCGTTTTCGATCTTATTATGCAATAAAGTTTGACATGGAGCTCACAAAAAAAAAAGGAAAAAAAACTTAAAAAAAGATGATGCAGAGCAGTTTATCTGGCGGGGCAACTGAGCAGTCTTGAGTGGGCTCTTGCTTGCTGGCAGGTATTGTGAGAGTTGTGGGGGACCTTTCTGAAAGTAGCTGTGGATCGGGAGGGCTCCCCATTTCTCTTCAGTGTATGTCCGATTATTTGAAAGGCGGGCTCATGTGGTGTGCTGGGACTAGAACTCTGGACCTGTTGGGTACCGGGACCTCTCTTTGGCAGTCCTGTTACAGTGTGGGAATTGTGAGCAATTCCGAAAAAATGCTTCGATTTAGACATAACCAGGTTCATCTCGTAAAACAATATAGTGTATGTGGATGGTCAGATCTCTCTGTGAGCTTAAACCACCAGTACACCCATACACCGGCCACGGAATTTATAAACTGAGATCTTTCCGAGGCCGGTAACGCCTCGGAGGCCGCCGGTGGAATTTATAAACTGCGGCGCCGACCTGTCCTATGCCCTGACTTTTTCGGTGGTGGCGACGGTTTTTTTTCTGCAAGGCTGGGGCCGTGTACCGGTGTTTTTGTTTTTTTGTTTTTTGTTTTTTGTTTTTTGTTTTTTTTTTCCCTTGAAAACCACGTGGAAACTCAAGGCATGTTTTTTTTTTTTTTTTTTTTTTTTTTTGGTCAATAGCTACGGAGAGTGTCAGATGCAGCCAGGAATAAAAGTCGTAGTGCGAGTACGCTCTTAGGGTCTTGGTTGATTTGTTGAGGGAGGTAAAAGTTGAGAAATCCAATGGAAATATTACACTCCCATTACACTCCCATCCGCATTCCGCATTCTCCCTCCTACTCGCCTCTTGCCGGCCACCGCTACCACCACCTTTGTGTGAGGAAAGCAGTGTAACTAGTGTGGTGAAATCTCCGTGAAACGTCGAACATAGTACTTGTGGCTCTGGTAAAAGTGTTGTCGGTGCTTTTTTTGGTGTATTTATTATTTGATGATGCATTGTCTTGCGCGCAGGTGAAGCCGCACATCAAAACCAGTTTGGCGCCAGGCTCCGGTGTTGTCACTCAGTATCTTGAAAAGAGGTATGTGCACGCCCTGTTCCGTCTCCCTTGTGCGATTTGTAGATGTGATGGGTGCCTTAGAAGGGCTGCGACTGAAGGACTAATGAGCCATACGGATGGATCATGGATGGCATCGGATGCGAAAATTCCACCAGAATATTTAATGTCGGAAGACTTGTAGGCAAAGTACCAAACGATCTGAACCTTGCACAATTTGCATGTTTGGGAGCCGATACCATATATGACGATGGACTGAAAAGCCAAACGTCGCATAGCGTCGTCAGAGCCGAATGTACTGAAAAGCCAAACGTTGCATAGCGTCGTCAGAGCCGAATGCTGGAGAGGCTGCCTGCTTTGGTCTGACCTTGGCAACAGATGAGCCTCTGTGATTATCGAAAATTGGAGAAAATCATGAAAATGTCAAAATGTCAAAATGATGATTAAAAAAATGCTATTAGTGATGAACCTAGTTCACATTTTCATCAGATTCAGACTTCGGTGCATTTTTCATTAGTCAACTTTCTTCTCTCTCTCCCATTCTTTCTTTTTAAAGTTTTAGGCAAAAGAAAAAGAAGAAATGATCAGCCGCATTTATGTCAACCTATCAGCTATCGTAACGGTTGAAGCGTTCTGGAGATTGGCATCTCTCATTGCTGCTGTAGATATGCAATGTCTGTATCGCCTTTTGGAACAGACGGAAATAAGATGCAAGGAATATGAGTGAGAGCGATAGACAGAAAACCAAATTGCAATGTCACGCTGTAGACCAGATAGTCGTGTACCAAGCAGAAAAGCACAATGCACCGATGTACCAGCCACATAAGAGCAGAGCAACACGGTGAACTCAAATGTCAATGTGGGCACTCTCGCGCCACACGAGCATAGTATCCAATGTCGTGCATCTTGATTGGCGCTCAGCGCTCAGCGCCCAGCCTACCCTACTCAGCCTAAACTAGCCTACACTACGTGTATGCAACAGGAGTCACTTCGATCTGAAGACCAATGTACGTGACGATGTCGCCAATGCAGACAGCCGGCATAAAGCACGAGGCAAGCAGAGAACAGAATGATGCGCTGCACAACGAATGAAGCTCTTTTTTCTTTTTTTGAAGTTCTTTTCCCCTGGATAGAGAGGTAATGCTCAACGCCGTCGAGCTGCATTTTGGAAATGTACGTGTTGAAGGTTAAGAAATGGAACTCAATAAAAAAAGTGCCCACTCCCAAGTTATGGGTTGTTGGTCGTCGGTGACAGATCTCGTTGCCACTGACCAATCCGCATGATTGAAAAGTAGAGCACCTGTCCTTGGGGTCATCTGTTAAAATGGGAGTGATACAGAGAAGATTACCATGGCCCGCGCGCAAAAGGACGACGCGCACAACTCGAGGCGGGGAAAAAAAAACTGGGGCACCAGTTGTTGAGGCAGGCAGTGGGAACCAAACTGACGCCTGATGTGTGTGTTTCAATTGCATGCATGGTGATGTGTCTGTGTGCAGTGGACTTCTTCCTGACTTGGAGAAGCTGGGCTTCTCTCTGGTGGGGTATGGCTGCACCACCTGTATCGGAAACAGTGGCGAGCTTCATGAGGCTGTCTCCAACGCCATCACATCCAACGGTAGGAAATAAACCTCTCTCTCAAACCATGCCGGGCTCCTGTTTCTGTCGGATGATGGGACAAACCGCAGCCAGGGGCGCCGACTGGATCACCTACCTATCACCTATAGGTAGGTGGTCCAGTCGGCACCACAACTCCAACGAGCGCCTCCATGCACTCAAAGGTCTTATAGAGAGGTAGGAACAAGGGACCCTATAAGACCAAATCGAGACCGGCATTGCGCACCACAACTCCAACGAGCCCCTCCATGCACTCAAAAGGTCTTATAGAGAGGTTTATCAGACCTCGTTTATAAAACCTGGCTTCTATAAGACCTTTGAGTGCATGGAGGGGCTCGTTGGAGTTGTGGTGCGCAATGCTGGTCTCGATTTGGTCTTATAGCGTCCCTTGTTCCTACCTAGTCGGATGTCCCATTTCGAGCAGTCTCTGCGGCATGTATGTGGTCGCGATTTGGTACCAAAGGGAGTGGTAGCAGTGGTGCCCTTTCTCTTTGTCTGGGGATTGGACCACCTTCCTATCGTCTATAAGGATCATTGGAGCTGTGGCGTGCCTGAGGCACTGGCAGCAATATCGTTTAGAGTTGGTATCGAGTTGGTCATGGAATGCTTGTTCCCAGGCGGATGTCCATGTGGAGAGGTCTCTGTGGGACTCAGTACTGAATGAAGTGTGCAAATTCAAAGGGGTCTCTTTGTCTGGGGATTGGACCACCGCAAATTCTAAGGGGTGTTTGTTGATTTTGGCCCGTCTCCTGGTTACCCGAGGGGAACCAAATGTCTACCCAAACTGCATCCTCCTCTCCTGGAAGTCGAAAAGGCACTTTTGGTACACCGACAACTGTACTGTTCAATCTTGGACTGTATCCAGTCATTGGCTTGTAAATCGGATCAAATACTGTTGTCTTCAACCGAATAGAGCGCCCAGTCATTAGAACTGTATTTAGTGTGCAAATCGGATCAAATACGGTTATATGATGACCGGGCGGGCGGTGAAGATGGCAGTCGGCTAGCTTGGACATCTGGGCTCCTCTTGGCTGTCTGAGGTGTCCATCTGGACAGACTTCAACCCTCCCGCTGCCGTATGGCTTGTCTGGGCTCAATGCAAAATCTAAAAGGAGGGGCGGGGAAGCGCGTGGGGTTAGTTTCGTAGAATTTTAAGAAAACTGCAACAACTTCTCAAATGGAAAGTATGTTGCAGGAAATTGCAATGCAAAGTATTAAAAATTCTTGATAGAATTCGAGATAAAGAAAAAGAGAGAAAGTTTTTATTAAATGTTGTTTGAACTTTGAACTTTGAAGTAGGCTGTTTTTTTTAAGACCCCGCTCCAGAGTCCAAACCCTATCAATAACCCCTGGAACCCCCGTTGACCCTCGTACATGCTTTTTACAAGTCCTTGAGAAATTAGCTTGGGGTTTCGCTTAAAAAAAAAAAAAAAAAAAATCGCTTAAAAAAAAAAAAAAAATCGCTTAAAAAAAAAAAAAAGAAAAAAAAAAAGGGATATTGCTCCATTTGAGGGGCTCTGCCCGAGGCTTCATGGCAGAGACCTTGCAGCCCCTGAATTTTTCACACTGTCATTGCTGTATCGTTGCCTTGGGCACTGGGCCCATCATAAAATTTTCGTTTTAGGAGAGAGAAAAAAAAGACACAAAGGCGCGTTGATCTGCGGTACAGCACAATGTTTGGGGGAAGACAGGCAGCACGACATAAAGGTGCCGCCTTCGGTTTACGCCGACGATAGATCAGGGGAGAAGCATCTGCTCGTCCTCCAAACACAACGCACCCTGATCATAAATGTATACAAGCTATCTGTCCGATGGAGTCATGACGAAGGTGCGCTGTGTCTGGGAGAAGAAGGTGGTTTGTTACGTTTCTTGCTCCGACTGAATGTCAATTTGCAGCGAAGTGGGGGAGGAAAGAAAATGCAGTCTGTCTAACAAGCGCTCTGTTTTTGTTTTTTTGTTTTTTTTGTTTGTTTGTTTTTTTCCGTGTTCCGTTTGCCTTTCGATTGGACAGACATAGTAGCCTCTGCAGTTCTCTCCGGCAATCGGAATTTTGAGGGAAGAGTGCATCCTCTGACACGAGCGAACTACTTGGGGTCACCGCCGCTCGTGGTCGCATATGCACTCGCCGGCACGGTGAGTTGGAATCGTTCTTTTTTTTGCAAAAGAATCGAAAGGACTCGTTTTTTCATTTTTTTCCTTTTTTTTTTTGAGTATGGGTTGGGCTTTTTTTATTTTATCGGATGGAAAAAAAAATGGAAAGGCACGGTTTCTGTTTTCATTAGTCACAGTTTTGAAGTTTTCGCTTCCAGTCCCTTCCGGGTGTAATGTTGAGGTTCCCCGGCCTAGGATCGCCTGTTCAGAAATGGAAATTTGAATTTTGAGAATTTTTGACGGGGGATGGGGGAAATAATCGCAGTTTTCTTCTTTCATCACCGTCTTTTCTCTGTGTTCTTCACTCTTTTGATTGTTGTTGAAGGGTTTTTTTTTTTTTTTTTTAATATAATAATATAATTATTAAAATTTAAAATATAATTATTAATTTAATAATTTCTCTTCTCTTTTCTGTTGACTTCTTGCAGGTGGACATAGATTTTGAGAAGGAGCCGATTGGGAAAGGAAAATCAGGGAAGCCCGTCTATCTTCGAGACATCTGGCCAACCAATGAGGAAATAGCAAAGGTCTGGACACCAGACCATGTTCTGTTCCCCCTTCCCCCCCTTTCTCCACTCTTGCCTATTGACTGGTGGCACCCCGAGCGTGTGCTCACACTGCCAGTACCTTCTTCACCTGAATATAGCGCCCGTTCGTTCTAGCAGCTGTATTTGGGCCAGTTGTCTGTCCAGGTGCGGCGATAATGACCTGGTGTTTTCTATTCGAGTGAAGACGGTAACTTGACTGTATCTGGACACTCGTCCGTATCCACACTCTGGCGACAAACTGAGCGTAGCCATCGACGTCATGGTGTGCGTTTGCCTGTTTGCCCTCCGGACATGAAAACAAGGAAAAGGATGAAAGAAATGAAAGGGACTTCATTCAAACTTGCAAGGGTACAGTAGGGACACTGCACTAATGGAATAATAGGCACAGAGTGACAGGGACTAAAAGAATTGAAAGGGACTTCAAACTTCAAAGTGGCCTGGGACCACCTGCCCGGCGGGGCCAAAAATGAAAAAACAAAAACAGAAAAAGAAGTTTAAAGAAGATGTGTTGATTTTATTTTTTACTTTTCATTTGTCAGAGAATTCCGATGTGATCCTGAGGCAAAAGTTGTTCAGTATATTTTTCTGCCCAACCTGGTTCCAATCAGACTCGCTTTCGTTTCCACTTCGCATACATGCAAACAGTTGGCGATTCACACTGGCGCACAGCGCCCACGCAAAGCTCAGAGATATGACAATCGAGAACACAGTTCGGATGCGAAACTCGCTTCACAAGTTACGGCGCATCAGCGCCTACACATCCCAACTCTCATCACTGCATTCAACACCACTGTTCGCCCGCACTCAACTCTGGATCACGCTGAGTACTCCACGCACACTCACTCTGTATCCCACACACACACTCTCAGGTATCTCCAACCTACGGCGGCTATAGCCGCTTGTCGCTACCACTATGAGCACTCTAGCCCCTTCAGCCCACTTCGTCTGCGGGCAACCTGCAGACCACCTTTGCACAAGACGCTGTAGCAGCGCTTCCGCATGGCTTACGCAGCAAATGAATGAATTGCCGGGCGCTGCTCTTGGATTATACTTCTGTTTGCCGCTGGTCTGCCCCTTTCCACCACGCCCTGGGTGTGCACAGTCCCACACGGTACTTGCTTGACCGAACTCGGTAGGATTGGGACTAGCAACTTAGACTGCATGAGGTTGCACTGCCGACTCAATGCAGTTGGACCTGCGACTCACCTACAGACCTCTAGCCATGCGGAAGCCATGCGGAAGCGCTGCTACAGCGTCTTGTGCAAATGTGGTCTGCAGGTTGCCCGAAGATGAAGTGGGCTGCGTAAGCCATGACTCCTACTTGACAGACCTACAGATCGAACCCGGACATGCGGCAAATTCGACCTCTACACAGCTATGACTCGTACTTGACGAACCCGGACACCTACACAGACCTACGACAGACAAACAAACAACTATCGAAACACAGGTCACGGGTTCAAACACTCAGGGGTCAGCTCGATAATGTACATGGGTAAAGTAAGGTCCCGTTTTCGGTCCGCACCTCCAGAATTTGAGGTGACAGACCCGCGGCCCAGGTGCCCATGTACTGGTGGTGGTTATATGTTTAAACTTTAAACTTAAACTTTAAATTAATTAATACATTATATATTTTTTAATATTTATTTGCCGTTTGTTTCGGTATGCCCCAGGTTGTGGAAACAGCGGTACTTCCCGAGATGTTCAAGCAGACGTACGAAGTGATCACCGAAGGCAATGACATGTGGAACGAGCTGGATGCTCCCGAGGGCGCATTGTATGCGTGGGACGAAGAATCGACGTACATCCACGACCCCCCATTCTTCAAGGGGATGACAAAAGACCCCCCAGGCGTCTTCTCCGTGCACGATGCGCAGGTACTTCTGAATCTGGGCGATAGCATCACAACAGATCACATCTCACCAGCAGGGAACATCCACAAAGACAGCGCTGCTGCAAAGTATTTGATGTCGAGAGGTGTGCAACGAAAAGATTTCAACTCGTATGGAAGCCGGCGAGGAAATGATGAGGTTATGGCAAGAGGAACCTTTGCGAACATCCGAATTGTGAACAAGTTTCTGAAGGGTGAAGTCGGGCCATCCACGATCCACATTCCCAGCGGGGAGAAGATGCTAACCTTCGATGCCGCCATGGTAAGTGAAGTGTGTGTGATCAACCGCAGTTGAGTTGCCTCTCTCTCTCTCTCTCTCTCTCTCTCTCTCTCTCTCTCTCTCTCTCTCTCTCTCTCTCTCTCTCTCTNTCTCTCTCTCTCTCTCTCTCTCTCTCTCTGTGTGTGTGTGTGTGTGTGTGTGTGTGTGTGTGTGTCTGCAGTTGAGTTGTCATTCACTACTACTATACAGAATCTCTCTCTCTCTCTCTCTCTCTCTCTCTCTCTCTCTCTCTCTCCCTCTCTCTCTCTCTCTCCCCCCTTCTCTCTCTCTCTCACACACACACACACATCAATTGATGTTCGTGGAGGAACTTAAAATCAGACATCACATTTGGAAACTTCTTTGTTAGCTCAGGAAAGGTAATTGGCCGTTATCCTTCTGCTTTTGAGTATTACTTCAAACAATCTGGAAGTTGAAGGTCGTGCTTCATAGTGCCGTTGTCAGTTCAATCCTGGAAAACAGTGGATAGAAAGTGAAAGTTGTAGCTGCTCTGCTGTTTATTGAGCTGGCATGCTTTCTGTTTTTCAAGGCTGATGTGTCTGATTTGAACTCCCTCTGGTTGATAACTTGATGTTCCTGACAGAAATACAAGGAGGAAGGCCGCGACCTTGTTATATTGGCAGGAGCGGAGTACGGAAGCGGTAGTTCCAGAGACTGGGCCGCTAAGGGACCTTACCTGCAGGTATGTTTGTTATGTTATGCCATGCTAATGTTATGTTATGTTATGTTATGGTATGGTATGGTATGTTATGATATGTTACATTATGTTATGTTATGTGTAGTATGGAAGCGGTAGTTCAGTAGACCGGGCCGATGAGGGACCATATCTGCAGATATGTTATGTTATGTTATGTTATGTTATGTTATCTTATGTTATGTTATGTTATGTTATGTAGTATGGAAGCGGTAGTTTAGTAGACCGGGCCGCTGAGGGACCCTATCTGCAGATATGTTATGTTATGTTATGATGTGATGTGATGATGTTATGTTAGTATGCGATGTGATGTTATGTGACATGATTGGATGCTATGTCATGTTATGTTATGTATGTATGTGATAGGCATCGGGTCTCTGTGTGTGTGTGTGTGTGTGTGTGTGTGTGTGTGTGTGTGTGTGTGCACACACAAGTCCGTGCATGTGTGTGTACGTCTCATGGACCCGCAACTAAGGCCAGGTGCACATGCTTCTAGTGCAGTGCAGAGAACTCTACCGTCTTCGCCGTATCTGGACGGAAAGTTTCCCCAAATACAGCTATAATGACCAGGCGTTCTACTCAGGTGAAGATGGTGGTGCCCCAGATCATCAGCTTTAGGTGTATGTGCCTACCATGGGCCCACAGCATGCTTGTGCATCGAGTACTAGGTGATTTTGGATTAGCTCTTGGTATTATGGGTTGTTTTGCTATTTATCTTTTTTTTTTTCTTAACCACACACGCGCACATGTGTGCCCCGTCTATTCCCGGGGCCGCCAGTCCGGTTACCTCTCACGGGCAAGCAAAACAACTTCAAATGACTATCCGATTGGTCCAACGGGGAGGGAGGTAAACAAAATAAGACTTTTCGATCATTTTTGCTTGTGCTAGTGCCTTTGTGTGGGAAGTTGGGAACCTTCTTTTTCTTTTGGTAATATGAAAATGCATGCACTAAGAGAGTCTCTACATTCTATTGGAGCTGTAGGGAAATCATACTGGATCAGCTCTTAGGACTCTCTATATGTTGTGGAGGGCCCTACCCCTACCCCTACCCCAGTATCAGCTCTGATTCATGACAAAAGCCAGGTGCTACAGTCTTCACCCGAATGGAACACCCGGTCATTATAGCTGCATCTGGTCTGGAAGTTGTGCCCCAAATGCGGCTAGAATGACCAGGCGTTCTATTCGGGTGAAGAGGTTAGCTATGTGCTTGTGCCAATGTGACTGGTGTGCCTGTTGGTCTTTCAGTGTTTGGAAACCTGTGTAGATTTTCGGACGGCAGCCGGTCCGTGCGGCTGGACGGAATCTCCATTCCGACGGTGGCCTCCCCATTTGGACGGGCCCCGGTCGAACCGCCGTCAGGTTCATTTTGGGGCCCAAAAAAAATGCAAAAAAGTGGGCAAAGAGTGCCCGGGAGGGGTGTGCCATTACGATTAGCACCCCTCAGCAGGGAGTTCTGTTTTTTTGTTTTTGAGGGGGGGACGGGGACGGGGACGGCCGGAACCTGTCTGAGCCGATCGGACGACATGTAGGACAGTCGGTCAGACGGCCATTCTGAAAATGCCTTGGACAGCGGACGGGGGGGGGGGGGGGGGGAGGGGGGGGGGGGGGGGGGGGGGGGGGGGGGGGGGGGGGGGGGGGGGCGTTCACAGTCGGAAACTGGATCTGAATCAGATAGACATGTGCACCTCTACACCCGACACGGCCTGGGCTGGCCAGTGAGGCAGGCACAGTCAGGTGCGTGGTCCTAGACCGAGGCTTTTTATGGACTGTGTGTGGTTTTGGGAGTGTTGCCTAGGGAAGTAGTTTAGCGAAGAGAAAGAATACTTAGTCTCTTTATTAAAAACTGCTCGTGCTCTTGATGAAATGGATGGTTTTGTAATTGTTCTAGATCTGCCTGTTGCTCTTTTGATCTTTGTGCTTTGTGACGCCCTCGAGAGGTTGACGAAAGCGATGACGAACTGCTGCTTGTGCTGCCATGACTGTGGTGCTTGTTATGTTGTCGGTGTTTGTGTTTTGGGTGTTTGGATACTGGACGCGCAGGGCGTCAAGGCAGTGATAGCAAAGAGCTTTGAGCGCATCCACCGCAGCAACCTTGTCGGAATGGGCATCATTCCTCTGTGTTTCAAGCCTGGAGAAGATGCAGAGTCTCTCGGTCTAACCGGTACAGAGCTTTACACAATTGAACTCCCCAAGGAGATCAAACCGGGCATGGACATTGAAGTCAAGGTCGACGATGGGAGGCAGTTCACTTGTGTACTGCGATTTGACACTCAGGTATCTCTCTCTCTCTCTCTCTCTCTCTCTCTCTCTCTCTCTCTCTCTCTCTCTCTCTCTCTCTCTGTGTGTGTGTGTGTGTGTGTGTGTGTGTGTGCTTTTAATGGGCCTGCTCGCAGTCACAGATGTCCAGGCATGGATGTAAGCGCAGTCAGATGCACTTAAGCCTGGACCATTGCCATAAGATGCGTCAATGGCTGAGGTTGACTTGTGAGAGTGCTCTCAAAATCATCCTCTTGGTCTTGAGAATCTTAGAACTCTGCCTCTTCTCTCCCTTCTGTCAATTACACTCCCTTCTGGTTACCAAATTTGGGGAAAAAATTGGAGCAAACTGCTCGGCGTTAGTTTCTTCTACATGCAAACTGTCTCCATATCAAAACCCCTTTTCCACCCAGATGACCAGGTCCATGCATGAAACAAACTGTTTGACCTCAGAATCTTCTACGCCCCATATTGACGGCGTCTTTACCTGATGTGTTGCTGTGTTGACATGCAATGCTGTCAGTGTCTTTTCCTTTCATCATGAAGCACACAAAGACGATGATGTGTTGCTGTGTTGACATGCAATGCTGTCAGTGTCTTTACCTGTTTGGAGCCTTTCCCCTCTGCTTACGCAGCTCTTTCTTTGTGGTGTGTGTGTGTGTGTGTGTTTTTTGTTTTGTTTTTTTTTTTTGTGTGTGTGTGTGTGTGGCTATGTGTCGATGCAGGTTGAACTGACCTACTTCGAGCACGGGGGGATTCTGCATTTTGTGCTGAGGCAGCTCCTTGCCTCACAGTGATTTCCTAGTCTCCTCTTTGAAACAGTCCTGTTGCCAGCATCTGCAGATTTTGTTAGTCTTCGAAAAAAAAGGGATTGTTCTCCCTCTTTTTGGGAAGCGCTGTTTTGTGCGCATTCCCAACTCCGAAAAAAAAAGGAATTTGGGAGTCTTCGAAAAAACGGAATTCGTTGACCTTGCATTGATTGCGCAGTTGTTGGCTTTGGGCTGTCCGATTTCGCTATGGAACGTTGTATTGAACGTGCAGAGGTCAGTCTCCTGATGAGAGGAAGGTTTCATAACCATGAGATGAATGTTGCCGCGTCCGATTTCGTGATGCTCTCCATTTTGGGGGAACGGAGGATTGGGAGCGAAGGCCGTCGGTCTTGTGCACGTGCAATCGGGTAGGAGAGTAGGAGAGTAGGAGAGTAGGGTAGGAGAAACCAATGACACGCCTTTTATCCCAATGCGGTGCTCACAGGGGAGAGGAGAAAATGTTGAGCAGGAGCTTTTGTCGGACTGTAATTGCCTGCCCTGGAGCATTAGTGGTTAGGAGGAATCTGAATCTGGACGCTTTCTGGACCAGATGCATTGCCGACAGGGAATCCGTATCTGCTGTGCTTTCTTATGTTCGTACAGGTGCTTCGGTTGTTGCGATCAGAGCACATATTGATTACCAACAGAGCTCTCTTTGAAAGTGACAAAACTTTTTCTCGCCTCACATTATATGCTGATTCGTTTCGGAGTCCGAATGGGCCTCGCTTTACTACTGAACATATGACATGCATTTGGACACCCTTCTGGACCAGATGCATTGGGATGAGTGCAACATTTTGGATGTATCGGGGTGATTATGACCTCCAGATACACATGTAGTGTTGTCTGGTGAAGTGAGGCCCGATGTCCTGGAGTGGGAGAGAACTGCACAGCTGCGGAAATCGATAGCAAACGGAAGCGGTGCGTGTGTGTGTGTGTGTGTGTGTGTGTGTGTGTAGTGGATCTGGCTTGTTCTTTCGTTCGGCGCATTTCATAGTCAGAGTCGCGAAGTCACTTTTTCGAGAAAATTGCCACTTCATGAAAACAATTGCAGGGCACAAGGTGCTGGTCAGTCCTGCATTGAAAATAAGCATAGTGTCTCTGATGTGCAGACAAACACAGAGACAGAGAGAGAGAGAGAGAGAGAGAGAGAGAGAGAGAGAGAGAGAGAGAGAGAGAGAATTTTGTTGATAATGAGGGGACAATGCAGGATAGCTCAACAAAATGGTAGTAGTACAGTTGAGCGGCTAAAAGTGCGGAGCTGACGGAGTCTGGGGTCTGGGGCAGACAGGGAGGAGGGGGAGGGGAGGGAGGAGGGAGGGTGGGAGGAGGGAGGAGGGAGGGTGGGAGGAGGGAGGAGGGAGGGTGGGTTAATGCCAATTTTGGATTGCTTTCGGGGGAAAGAGGAGCTAAACAACATGATCTGGTGCTGAGGGCCAAAAATCATCACATGTGTTCTTGCCTTGTGGTACCCCCCTGGATGTATCTGACCGCAATTTCATTCGACTGTGTTTGTAGTGTACCTGTCCCACTTAACGCCATCTTTTTCAAAAGCTGGGAGAATACCTCCCAACAATGAAAAATGTATTTTTTTTTTGAAGTTCTGATGATGAGACTAAATGATGCTTTTCACTTTTTGTAAATTTTTGCCAGTTTTTGGTGTTTTTCACCCCTCTTGGTTTTGGTGTTTTCACTCTTCACAAGTTTTCACAAGTTTTCAGTGTTTTTTTTTTTTTTTTTTTTNGTTTTGGTTCATTTACCACTGTTTGCTCTGTCAGGGTGGTGGTTTTCAAAAACAAAGGACCAAAAAAAAAAAAAAAAGAAGAGGAGGGAGTTACAGCACCAGTACACGGCTACATGGGCAGCGGGCCTGAGTGAGACCTGGGGCAAGGTCCCACTTGCACGGATTACGAGATTTTGACCGTTGATCTGCGCTATCTACGGTCAACATCTCTTGATTCGTGTAAGTGGGACCTAGCCCCTGCAATTCCGTAGGTGCGAAACGAAAAAGCGAGCGCCTATCCAATATATCAACGGCAGGCCTACCTTCTTCCCAAAATAACGCCTATGCGTTGTAAATGAATACAACACATAGGGTGCGTTCTATTCGAATACAATGCATATGTGTTCTGTTCGAGTAGCACTGGACTAAATTTTGAATACAATGCATATGCGATCTACTTGATTTTTTTGTTCAAATTTGAAAACTCGAATTCAACCCATATGCGTTATGTTTGGGGGAAGAAGGTAGCGTTCGACGTTTCGGTCTCGGTTTCTTCTTGTGGCGACAAGTCTAGGACTGTAAGGCTGGGGGCTCGGTGCTAGCACGTTGGCCTTTTTTTTTTTTTTTTTTTTTTCCCTTCGTTCCCCTTAAATGAGACTATGCTCCAAATCTATTCGTGGGGAGCAACATGGCTGGGAACCGGGCCCAGCGTACCTGATGTAAATACTAAATAGTAAAACCATTTTTTTTCTATTTTTCAATGAAATAAAAATTGAAAAATAGATTTCTTCTGATTCTTCATTGACAAAGCCTGGACAAATCTCTTAGCCTTTGCGAAGGCAACAGGCACATGAATGAGCGTGTACTCACATGACCACTCTTCCCAATGTATCTGACCGTAAGTAAGGACGGAACTGGATGTATCTGGCTGCATTTCCGTCCAGAAACAAGTATAAACGTCCTCGTGTGAGAAAGCCCTGAGAGAGCAGGTGGTTTACTGTTTTTTTCGTTTTGGGGTAACTTCAGTAAGGTCTGGACCCCACAGGCGTGCGGAAAAGCGTATGGAATGGCGCATAGGTTTTTTTTCAGACCCCACAGGCCGCAGGGAGCGGCCAGGAAAACTTTGGGTGGACGTTTTCACATAGGGTCATGATGGGAAATTCCTCCGTGGCACTCCATTTTCCGAAATATTGTGCCAAAACAACATGGTAGCCCCGAGGCCACTCACTGGACGGTGTGCTGAAAAAGAGGAGGCACACTTGCCCGAAAGGCCAAGTCTTCCTGATCAGGTAACCTAAACCCGCGGACGTGCCGAAATCTGCTATGGCAGTGGAGTCCCATTTCTCTTTCCCATTCCCGACAACTACGATTTGTGCTGGCGGATGCTTTCCAGGCGCCAGCCTGTGGGGTCCAGCCCTAAGAGTCACAAAAAACGAGTTATAAATTATGATTAAATAATTTAAATTATAATTGCACTATATATATATGGGGCAAGATACAGTTTCCAATGGCACTTAGGGCACCCTACCTGGCCAGAAAGCTGGGTTGTATATACATTGCAGGCCCGAACTGCAATTGCAGACTGTATCTTGCCCCATATATATATAGTGCAATTATAATTTATAAGTCGTTTTTGTGACTCCAGGAGCATGGTCCCACTAGCAACGGGATAGGATAGAAAGGAGTTTGTGGGACAGTTGAGTGACCCAAATCCTGCCGGGTGCAGTACTCTTGAGTGATCCCACGGTCAGTATTTTAAAAAATATTTTATTACCCGAAAAAGTAAGGAGATCTTGGTTCCCCTCCTCCTCTCCTTAACACTGGGCTTGACGGTGCAAAGGAAGCTTCCCGCCAGAATCTTTTCAATCGGTTCGGGGTGTGGCCAACCCCCAAAAGAGAGTGGGGTCGGCCATAGGCCCACTGGATAGAAGCTTTTCAGTATTTTTAATTGCTTGCTGTTGTGCACTTATCTCATTGGGTGGAGCCCTCCTTCAATCACGGAGTATATCGAGGGCGTCAGGATTACTGCCGACAGAAGTCGAGTTTATTCCAGAAAATGTGGCAGTTTGTTCACTGTTGTGGGGACCACCACCACCATCGGATCGTTTGTGATCTGATCTGATGGCTGGGAAGCACTCTGCCGTGATTTCAGGTGGGAGGTCTCTGTTTCTTCTTTTTTGTTTTGCACTTCTCCTGTTTTCCCAGAAAACCGTAATGAACCTGTCAGCCCACTGCCAGTCAATGTCACACTGGATAGGCCACACTCCTATCTGACTGCAAATGGGACCACGCTCCCGCGCAGTTTCCCATTCTTTTTTTTTTCTTTTTCTGTTTTTGAAGAGGAGGTGGTTTTCTGAAAAACGCAAGTGATGTTCATGGGAAAAGATCATACTTGCAAGCAGACGGACCGGACGAGCGTCCGGTCCGATCCGCTTTGCCGCGTGCGGCACCCTCCCCCCGGACCGGACCAGACGGGGCCATTTTTTTTTTTGGGGGGGGGGGGTTGGAGTAACTGGTCGTCGGGCGCACATTCGTGCGCCGTGCGGGTCTGGTCCGGTGGTCCGCCGCACGTGCGGAACCGCCCGGACGGCGTCCGCTTGCAAGTATGGAAAAGATTGTTCTTTTTTGTTTTTCTGTATTATGATACAACTGTTTTTAACAATCAGTTTAAATAAACTTAACTGAACTGTGATAAGCTTAAATCAACTCTTAACGGAACTGTTACGAACTTGAAAAAAAAACGGAATGGAACTGTCCACGGATAGGATAGGATGCCACGGTCAGGATTTTTTTTTTTTTTTTTTTTAAT